GAATACGCGAAAAAATACCTAAGAGAACGATCTCGCAAATTCAGCCACTCTTCGTCGTCATGTGCACATCATTAAGTACGGTCGGGGTAAATCTCATCTCGAGGCGTCTCACGTTTGTCCCCCTGTGATTTTCTTCCTCCTCTTTACTGGGATCATTTTGAGGGTGAAAAGGAAAAAACATACACTCACGTGAGGAGAAAAAACACAACAAAAATATAAAAACGGGGGTAAGATATGCCGGCCGGGAGGGACGTATCCTTCGTCGTTTCCCGGGCACTCGCACCTACGCGTCTAGACGCACGGTCGTTGCGCGTTGGGGAACGAAAGATGGGGGAGGTGAAAAAAAAAAAAAAAAAAAAATAGCGAGTAGAAGGAAAATGTATATCGGCAAAAATGGATGGAGGAAAGGTTGAGCGATGAGGAATGGTTCCTTTCAAGGGGTATGGCGGGGAAAAAGGTGAAGCGGACAGATGGGAATCGGAAAGTGCGGCTGAACGATGAAACGAGCTTTCTCGAGGGATGGGAAGGTTGGTTTTGTACTTAGGATGGGAATGATTTGCGAATATATCCATCGAGTGGTATGGGGGGAAAAAGAAATTTAAGAGGGAGGTTAGAGATAATTTTTGGGGTATAAATAGGTAAACTAACGATCAAAATTTTTTCATTTTCGGATTTTTGGAAACTTATACCCTCGAGTTGATCGCTTTAATGTGTGAAGTGAGTGAACACTTTTTTCTAAAAATACATGATAGTACGTCAGGTTTATTCATTGTCATATTATTATTTTGCGAACGATATCACGAATGAAGTACTAGCTATTATTTTTTACTTCTTCTCAATCGAGCTAATCGCTGCTACTTAAAGACCCATACGTCTTCTCAAAATTTAATCACCCACAAAAAAATCGCATATGGTTTTCAAATTTTCTGTTTTGCGTGATATAATTTATAGAATAAGGAAAAAAAATTAACAATAATATACTTGTATACATTAAGAGACGTAAATTTTTTGTAAATTTCATTGAAACAAGTTCCCATTGTAAAACAACGAATACGTGTAATCTTTGCAAAAGACTTGCGTTTAACACAAACTTGCGTTTTGCACAAATTAATTGTAAGTCATTCAGTATAAATTTTTAATACTTTAAAAGTACATATTGTTTACTTTAATAGTTTGAGCAAAAAACGTACAGGTCCTTTTTGGCTTGCAAACAATATTTGTTTGATTCGAATACGAAGATATGTTTTATATTTCTGTGTTAAAACTCGTCCACACTTTATACAGATAGTGTATACTTTTCCATGAACGCACTTTGCATGAACGCACAAGGCAAAAAATGACCATTCGCCAAATCATCTACAAAAACTTACCTACACACAGATAATGCCACTTTTTCGCTTTCCTTGAAGCAATTCCATGCTCAGGCACGACCGCATCTTTTTTCTGCACACCTGCGGAGCACACAGCACACATAGCCATCTTTGCTCCGAGAGAGAAGTGGGAGCTTGTGCAAGCTCGCTGGGCTTTATTGGGCGGCAAACGGCTTGGGTCGCGCTCACGTAGCCAAATGCCCGCGCGCAGGGTGTGTTATTTGGAGCCTGAAATCGCTCTCCTCCCTTTTCTCGCTGCTATTGCACTGTATTACGTGAAAGGTAGTGTTTTCGTACAACGTTATGTTTATATATATATATATATATGTATATATATATATGAATATGTGTCGGCAAAGTGCGCAGCGATTATTAGACAAAAGATTGTCGTCCTTGTAACGTACACCTCGACTAAATTGGTGCCCACCCCAAAACTCAAACTGCGGCCGATAGCGAAGCTGAAAGGGAGATTTGGAATATATTCGTGCCCCACCCAATGTTGCAGTCTCGTTGTGTATTACTCTCCCTTGCTTTGATGATTTAGATGTTGGATCTTGAAAATTACGTGTGCGAGTTACACATCAATGCCGATACTGTGAAAGGAACGTACGTAATTGACACAGGCTTGTATGTAACAGTGGTATAATAGGATTACGCGACCACCAGATTTCGAAATCATCTCCTATCCTCGATTTCATGCAAATACTAAGCAATAGGTACATTACGTTCGACAATGTTGTTTGGTTGATTTATAGAATTATGGGAGATTATTATATTTATCGTGATAGATCGATATTGAATCGAATAATATGTTAAAAGGACAAAAGTTTTTTTTTTTTTTTTACGAAGCCTCAAGTCTCGATGGTTTTGAAAATCATTTGGTCTCTTCTCGATATTCTTTTATCAAAGCCATATGTGTCTCGTCTCAAAGTAGGTATCACATTTCTCTATTACTCGTGACTCTTTCAAAAAATTTTTTGCGTCCAGGTTACGATTGTGAATAACATGACATACGACATCCTTTCGTGTCGAAATGGCAAAAAAAAATTTTTTGCTACATGAGTAACGAAAAAGAGAATGAGGTCACGTCAAAAACTTGATGTTACACTCAAGCTCTTATTGACATATTCATAAAAAATAACTGTTTTTCGAGTATGCTTTTTTTTGTAAGGGTAGTAGACATATATACCTTGGAATAATTCAAAACTTTAGTTTCAGACTTTCTGCGTTGACAATCAGGTGAGCATTCATCTGTGCCAATCGTTACATAAATTTGCTCTTCACAAAATACACGAATATTTTACAAAACTCGTGACTTTTTTTTGTTCCACTGCAGTGTAAAATTAGAGATCAATTCATGTTAGTGCTCTATTTTTTTTTTTTTTTTTTTCTACTGTACTTGTACAAAAAAAATGTAGCATCTAATTTTTTTTATGTTTTAAACTTTTCTACATCAATCGTAAATCATGTTTTCTCTTAATTCTGTATGAATTTTACATTAAAAGAATGTAGTTTTTAAATGATATGGCTTTTCTAAAAATTGATACATTTAAACTTAAAATGACGACAAATAATTTTTTTAGCTCAAAACTGAGATACCATCTTTATAACCAAGACGAGGTACGTCTTTTTTATGTTGTTAGGAGAAAAATAAACTAAGGGAGAGCTTTAACGAAAAAATACGAAGGAGAAAAAACGTTATAGTGAGTGTAAATATTTAAGTGTAAGACAAATGGCTAGTTTTCCAATTTTGGTATTTTCTTCTAAGCCTCCCTATAACCACTAAACTTTTCTATCGTACCCGTTCACTCGCTCTTTTTTTCTTACCTCCGATTTCTCTTTGTATCCAAATTTATAGGTCACCCTTTAATGGATTGTCTTCTTTAATGGATTGTCTTCTTTTGCGCTTTACCTTTCTTTCTCCTTTAACAAAATCGAGCCAATCCTGTCAACGTTGCTATCTCAAGTTGGTTAACCATTTTAATTAGCGAGAGTTATTTTGCCATCGAATTAGCAAGACTTCTGACTTTTTCTTCTTTCGTACTTTGCAAATGATGGATTTCTTAATTTTCATTGGATTTCTTAATAACCATTAGCACAGGTCTCGCTTCTCCCTTCGAACAAACAGACGTATGAGACAATAAAATCATGAAAGCCGCGAGGGAACAATCGCGTCCTTGGCGTATTTATATATCGAGTTTCTCGGGTATCCCCCAGATTTTCCCCGTTACTGTCACATCTCTGTTACAAACAACTACACATTGGTATTCATACAGGCTCTTCGCGTCTCCCTCCTTTCATACCTATATTATCTCCGAAGCCAGTTCGTTTATCGGGACGTTCAATCGTTATTTCGTCCTTGCTTCTGTCGTCTTTGTTGCGCATCACGAATCACACATATATGTATGTGTGTACATTAGTATGATAGAGGTAGTATCGTTTTCTGTAACGGGCCACTCCGATTTATGGCCAAGTGCAAGGAGAAAGTAAAAAAACATACGAGGAAGTTCGTACGTGTTTGACCGCTTCCCCATGGAGATACGGACGCGATTTCGAGTTTCCTTCCTTAAAAAGTTATACACCTGGCGCTCAAATTTTTTTTTTTTTCTTTTCATACTCAAGTATAAGGTAAAAGAACAAACAGCAGAGTTGTGAATGTTGTACGCGTGCGATTTCAAATATATTGTGTTTTGGCCAAGAGATGTGCAGTCTAACTGTGTGCCAACGTGCCAGAGAATGTAATTGCGAGCGCAGCGAGAAAACGCGCGGAAGAGGTGTCGTAAAGGGAAAGTGGACCAAGAGCATGAAATTCGCATGAAAAAGGGATCGCCGGGGAGTTTCATTCGTCCTCCGCGCGGTTTTTATGGCTCTTTTGCCGTAAGGATAATTACGTTCCGTCACTCGAGTTATTCTCATTTGATGGACAAGCTGCTGAACGAGGGACATTAAAAATCGGCAAACGGAACCAGAGACCTGCCAATGAGTAGATTATTTTTTTCTTCTGCCACACGTTGGATGGGGTGCAACAAAAACGCTCGTATATATTTTTTAATATTGTCCGTGACCGAAAGACATCCCACAGCACGAAAACGTAAACCATTAATCGGTCTTAAGTATAATTTTATATCACGTAATCAACTTCCCTCGGCGACAAACGGATTCCACGATACTCCACTAAAACCCACATAGCCGCGAATGACTGGCAGCCGGAATAACCTCCATAAACCTATACATGTATTTTATCGTATTCAAACGCAGATTGCTCGTTACGTATCAGCTGTGCAAACCGTGAGGCCACCTGTATGGTAGTTCCCTTCCCTACTATCTTCGTTTAACGAGAAAATTTGATTGATCAGCGATACTTGGCTTTAACCAACGAGCGAGTGGCGCGAAGGGGAGGCTGTTTTACATTTTGCAGGAGATGATCGAATTTATGTTTCAAAGGCGCCACTGCCGACGGTGGCCTTTTAACGCTGTATATATGTATTGTAATTACTCTAACGAACCGGCGAAGCGTGTCTTTATACGTCACACCGTGGTGTGACAAGCTTGCCTGTGTGGGCTTATGTGTAGGTCTGTACTGTCGGTATATCAATGATGTTAACAAAGTCCTCTTTTGTGTGATTTCAGTGTCCGGAGTGTCATGCACAAGTACCTCGAAAAGAAGAACGAGGTGAACTTCGACAAAATATTTAATCAAATGCTAGGTGAGTCCGTTTACGTATATACACTTTTGTTTAATTATAATATGTGTTGAGGTTTGCGAAGTTTAGTTTATGAAATCACTGTGACGTCCCTTGACAAAATTAACCCGAAATCAATTGAAATCGGTGAGAAATACATTATAAATCAACATCAGTTTGAAGATGAAAAAAATAACATTCAAAGTCTCATGGGAGTCTTCATGAACTCTATGAAATTGTGTTATTTTTCTAGAATGATAACTGAAGTACTGAAATTAATGACTTTATTTATAAAAAAGACAACTCAATTTTTTTTTTTTTTAAAGCTAAAAAATACGTCCTAATTTGATCAGTAACTATACACAACCATAAAATTAAAAAAAATCATGTATTTACTTTAAGAGCTTCCTATGAATTTTCTTCTCAAGTTTACAGTGGTTTTTACAAACTAGCCAATAAAGTAATTATTTTTTAATCAGTACAAAATCATTTTGAAACTACTGGGATTCTATACGTAGTCTCAAATCAATTGAACGCCTTATAGTAAAAGTCATTAGTCCCTTCATCAAAGCTTGAATAACACAACTGTTTCCATGTGTATTTTCGTTTTTTTTTTTTTTTTTTTTCTTCATTAAATATGTACAAACTTAGTTTTTGCGCTTTGGCCAAGATATGTCTATCGACTCTAGAATAGAAAGTGCTAGCTCAAAATCACAAGGATTTAAAACCGACGGAAAAATCTCTCCTACTGTGTTTTCCAGATGATTTTTCTACCGAGGGTAAAACCACTCTGCGTCCTTACAACTTTCCACCTTCAATGAAACATTACAACTATGATATTTACATGAAAATATTACGTTCCTGAAACAGCATCTCTTATCCCAGTGACTTTGAAACTCAATTAATTCTTTTCTGGGCGGTCGATTTCTGGAACATGTTTAACGAATCGTGACTCTTTATTTTTTCAACGAAGAGCACTCGAGATTCATACTATTTCAAAACTTTTCGCCAAAAAAAGTTTTTTTTTTTTTTTTTTTTAAATTTTAATCTCACAGTTGCGAAAAACAATTCCGTGACCTATTTTACACAGCGCAGTTACCGAGCAAACACTCTTTCCGGTAGTTGTTACGTACATAAGTGTAAAACAGGCGTTCAATAAAATTCCCAATAAGCAAAATCTACGTATAACACCGTATGTACTTGATTATTGGATTGCAGGTTACCTTCTGTTCAAAGACTTCTGCGAGAACGCGGAAGAGCCCATTCCACAGCTGAGGTTTTACGAGCAGGTACTTGCACAAACATTATCACTCACACCCCCTCGCACGCGTTTCATCAACACAATAAAAATACCCACGGCTGCAGTCCTAATATGTATACGGTCTTGTATGTCTGTTCCCCGGTCTATTGATCCAGCGGGCGATTCAAAAAGCTCGTAAATCAAAGTGTACCTGGTCGAATTTAAGCACCCGGCACTTTGGCTGGAATAATCGTCTCGTCAAGGTTTACGAGTGCACCTCACTGCACGACCATTGTTTATAATGTAGGGTGAAGGAAGAAAGGAAGTGACAAGTTGATGCAGTTGGTCCATATTCGGGTCGATTGTTGATGGCTTTGGTTCGCGGGAGTATGTGTGTAGTAGCAGTCGCGTGGTCGTGATTAATCGACGGAGTAATTATAGCCGCTGAGCTGGGATATTTCAAGAGGGTTGACTGATGTACGTATATACGCATAGAGTCAGTGTAGTGTACGGATGATTGGTAGTTTGGGAGGGGGGGGTGGTTCTGATAATAAGATATTCCGTGAGATTGTAGGCGAGTCATTTAATCGTGGAGTGCTGGGGATTGGAATTTTTTTTTTTTCGAATTGAGGAAAAAATGTGTGTTGTTGAAATTTCTTCTGTACCGTTTTAACTCTGGCAAGGGCCGTTGCATGAAAACAATTTTTGTTCGCGTCTGTATGAATAGTATCTTTGCTTATTCGATGATAAAACAAAAAACGTAATATTCATAATCGAAATCCTTCCTTGTTTTTTAAACTTAAAAATATAATTTATTTATCTACCGCAGTATACATGTTCAAGTATCTTATATTTGGTGATTTTCCTCCTCCTTATCGTTTTTCATGTACTTTTTTTTTTTTAATTTTTAAAGACTATAATGATATCCTTTTTAATTGTGTTAAGTTTGACACCTTTGCGTGTACTACATGTGTGTTTACAAATGTACCTTGAATATATATTTTTTCTTATTGTCTCGACTTTCAATTATCATGATTTACGAGCATTAAAATTGAAATGCTTCATTTTATCATACTATCCAATTTTCCTTGTTTGAAATTTTCTAATTATTTAACAAACAAAGATAAATCCTAAGTTATTGAGAACCAGCATTATAAAATAAATAGTAAGTTCGAGTAAAAAATAATAATTCAAAGTTTTCTTAGAGCACATGAGTATTTTTTTTTTCACGGTCAAAAATCACCGGATACAATAATTCATTCACCATCCAAAAACAAAAGAAAATAAACAAACAAACACAAAAACTGCAAAATTTATTCGCTACTAACGTTTGACGACTCCAATCATTACAGGTCAAAGCGTACGAGAAACTCGAATGCCCCGAGGAACGGCGGAAGCTCGCCCGAGAGATCTACGACAATTACATAATGAAGGAACTCCTGGCGCATACGCACGTAAGTCAACCTACGGCATGTATATGGGTCATTTCACAAAAATTGTAATATTCTTACGCTCTTGTTGATATTTTTTTAATCCGTTGTTTATAATTTTTTCATTACTTTTTTTTAAGTTACGTGAGGTCCTAACTTGTCGGAAATTTTTAGGCCCTATTCCACGACCATATTTTGAAAACCTATGTTAATTTAAATTCAGTTTTTAAAAAAATTTTTAAGAGCGTTACGGTAATGACAGACTTGTGATTACCATAACGGTACTTGTTTTGCGATTGTGAAGCCCTAAGTCTGAATTGTTCAATGAAATTTCGTTTGCCATATCTCCCCAGACCCCTTCATGCACAATGATCATTTAGTCGATAAATTCAAATCCCTCCGAGATTAGAGACGTTATTTTACCGGAAAAAATCTTCCATATTCTTGACGGCACTGTAAATAGCCACATTTTAATTTGGGGCTACAAAAAAATTTAACATGTTCTTGTACACTTCGGAGTACAAAATAATCAATTTCCAGGGTCTTATTAATCGCTTGGCCAAATTAAATCCTTTGTGGTGCGCAATCCAAAAATGTCAAAAGCTTTACAGATTAAACGTTCCGTACTTAGAAAAAATTTTTTTTGTTTAAAAAAGGTACTCGATACCTCAAACTTTCAAAGAGTAAATAGTAAAAAAATTAAAATTTTAACATATAGGCATCAGAAGCTGCAAAAAATTAAATTTTTTTCGACTCGAACTCGAAAATGCATTAATGGAAAATTGGCTTACACCGTTTCAAAAAAATTCCAACTGGAAATAATTTAATCCATCGTTTTTAACATATCCCTCATGGAATATCGCAGTTTTTGTGAAATGACCCATATACATTTACACAGGTTGGTACGTACTTCTCTTTCTCGCTTTCTTAACCGACTTTTCTTCCTTTCACCCATTTTTTTTTTTTTTTTTTTTTTCTCTTTTGTACCGGCCCCTTTATTACACAATTCTCTTGATTAAAGTGTCTAATTTATTAAGTTAACGAAGCCTTTTTCACTATCTTATTTATATATGTCTTATACGTCTCCACATATACATTTTATTTCTTTTTTCTTATTTTAATTTAACGAGGGACGTTTCTTTCGCAGCGATCACGTCTTTTCTCAAAATCTATTCTAGGTGTCGCATTTGAGAACAGACAATATGACTCGAAATGGAAGAAATTCGTTTACCTTTTTTTCTTAAAGAAGAAAAATCAGTTTTGATTGCTTTTTCCATGATAATATTTAATTTAGCTTACAGTCTGCAGTGTGTCTGGCTGTGGAATTTTTTTTATTATCGGAGTGCGGCTACTCCGCTGAATATCTTTATTAAAAATTGGAGTACGTTTTATTCATAGAGGATATTATAAGTACATCCGTGTTAATAATAATTATTTGTTTCATTAATTTTTCAATCCAATCATTTTCCAAATAATATTTGTAATTTTTTTAGTAAAAAAAAGCACTCTGCTATGAAATTGAAAAATTTAAATAAAAAAAAATTTTTTATGCATACACACGCAGATTTTCGTTTGAAAATTCTTATTTAAGGCGCTTCATTTATTCTCTCCGGTGTTGAAATAATGACAGAGTAGCGTGAAGCTCTGGCTTTGTTGTCCTGTTGACGCTTCTGAAGACCTTACCGCGTAAATGCCATTTTAATACATGCCATTATACTTATAAGCCTTTATATGCTTTTCTTCTAGGAATACTCACAAAGCGCTGTGGAGCACGTGCAGGAGTATCTATTAAAAAACGAAGTTCCCGTCAATTTGTTCGAGGTGAGTTGTTTGATGTTTAAATTTAATGTTTTTCCAAAATTACAATATATTTGGTTATAGAAAAAATTTTTTTTCAATAACTTATTACTAGCACAGACCTTGACAAAACTATTTCCACCTAAAATAATTAATTATATTTTGAAATCGAAGAAAAAATAAGGGGACAAAAGTGTTAAAGCTAACATTTGAAAAAAATATTTGTTAAAATATTTTCTCAAATGTTAAAAGAATATTTGTAAAAGTACGTATACGATTAGTTTTAAATAATAGTACGCTATTTTTGCTAGATAAGATGTTTTTAAGTATTTTAATACAACAATTTAAAAAACTTTTCCAATAATTAGAAAAAGTCCGTCTAAAATAGGGCATTAAATTTTTGGAAACAATAATTATTTCACAGTATTTGAATATCGACCAAATCATTATACTTAAGTCTGCAAATTTTTATTTCCCTTTCTTTGGTATACTTTGAATAATGCATTAAATTTTTCATTTTACGAATTATATTGTTTAACTGTACGCAAAATCTTATTTTTTGGAAGTAAGTATTCATTTGTATGTCTGTCATTTCAACCTTAATAGTTTATTAAAAGTAAAAGAAAGGGTCGAAAACTATTACATGGATATTACATGGATAAAAGTTTTAAAAAATGCGAACGTCTTAAAAAACGGACGGTGTCTCGTGTAGTTTTTTTTTTTTTTTTTTTTAAATTTTAATCT